CAAAGTCAGTATGAGCGTAATGAAACAATCGAGCACATTGTTGATCAATTGATGATCGAGCAATGGAGGAACACAACATCCCATAAAGTCTATTATGATCGATGTCATCCTTCTGTATGTATATATACATATGCTAGTAAAAAGAATTGGCTCAATGTATTAACATCGATTATTGTGCCTCTGGGTGGTCTGAATCTTATTCTGAAGATCATAGTGCCTCGCATTATCATGCTGATTTGGTCGCGTCTTCGTACAAATCCAGGTAAATGAACAGTTTTAGAGATGAAAATCAGTTGCTTACAAGTATTACTAACTTTAACTTGTTTTATTTCAGAACGAAATGCACGTTTGCACAATGAAAATTTTCTACAAATGATTAAAAGATATATTCTTAGTTTTAATGTGTTTCATACATTATCTCATTCAAATATGGATGAAGAATACACGAGACGCACGCAAATCATCGCTACACGCGCCTATCTGCTGACTTTGGTGGCTTCGCTTTTTGTGCTGATATTATATAGATCTCAAGTAACTACCGTACGGTTGGTAACTATTCATGCACCTTCTTATATCGAGTATGTTAACTTATACGATAACTATTCTCAATCTCTCGCATGTCCTTGTACCAACACTAATATACAATACGGTGAATTTCTTCAGATAGAAGTTCGATTACATCAAGTATGTAACAGTAACTTTGTTTCTGATCTATATTTCGCCTATCTCAATCCAATGACGACTAATATACCTTATGGTGACAAACGGAGAGGAAAGTCTCAATTACAAATGATCGCTTCATGGTGCCGACAGGCTCAATCAAGTATTCTTGATGATCGTAGTGCATTCTATGTTGAACAGTTTACTACCTATGAAGTTTTATCTTCAACCGTATTTGACAAAGAAGTTCAATCATTAACAAGTCTATTTATTGGATCGACGAAAAATACATTTGTCCATTCGTTGACTGTGATTCGACAAATGATACAAGATAATGTATTAATGAGTGGTTATACAACTAATGCATTCCCTTATGCTGCAGGCAACAGTACCACTTTACGTCTTCATATGGGTTATGCTTTTTATCCACAATCAGGTATATGCATCTGCGTTTTCTCCAACAATTGCACTGAACCAATCAGCGATTTTCATTTTAATGAAATATCGACGGAATTTCCTATTTTTTCAGGACTCCGGAGAGGTTGTTTCATCGACGAAGCAACACTTCAATCAACACTTGAATGTTATTACAATCAAAGCTGTCTTGATGCTAGTCACGCATTTTTTGGCTTAGATCTTTCGAATAATTTCACTGCTATGAAGACAACTGTCTCAAGTCAGTTTAATGCTACTTCGGTAATGAGAGATATTCTTAATGAAATGATGGTAGAGGATTGGATATATACATCCTCTCATGTATCTTTCTACAATGCATGTCAACCAATATCTTGTAGTTACTCATATACCACAAAGAATGACTTATCGATCATTATTAGTGACATCATAGGATTAATTGGTGGTTTAACAACTATTCTAATGATTATTATTCCCCATTTGATAAAGCTTGTGCGTCGTTGCCAACGACGATTGGCCTTTCAACGAGCACACTTTGCAGGTAATATTTAAGTGATCTGAATCATCACAAGACCATATATTTTTTTGATTAATTTCAGGTGTATTTCGAATGGAACAATTACGTCAATATTGGAACAAAGGAAAAGAAAAGATACGCCTTTTGAATATATTCTATTCAAGACATGAACAAGTCATTGTCAATGCTTATGATTTACGGACTCAGATTATTTCCACGCGTGTCTTTCTGGGTTTTCTCTTTGTTTCTCTATTTGTACTTGGTATTTATACATCTCAAGTACCCATCAACACGATAGTTACCATTCGTTCGCCTTTACTTGACCAATATTCACGTATATATTCTCAATATTCGCAATCGCTTTCATGTCCTTGCACGAGTATTTCTCTTACTTACGAGCAATTTGTTAATGTGCGAGTAGCACGTTTTCATCAAATATGTCAAAGTATATATGTTACAACAGCTTGGACATTACTCATTGATGATTCACATCAGCTTCACAGGATCTTCACTAACGATTTTCGTCAGTTAGGTGGCCGTTTCTTTGAAACATTAGCTTCATTCTGTGCTCTCTCTCAAGAACTAATCACAGAAGAATTGATCAAATTCAATGCAAGCCGTTTCGTGACTAA